CTCCCATCACGCAGGAGATGGGAGAGCTCGTGGTCGGACGGAACAGGCAGCATGGGGACCTCCCACCATGACTTGCCCACCTGGCCGACTGCCTGCGCAGAGAACTCGCCCCGTGCTTTGGAAAGAGCAAGTACCTTTCTTCAGACCCAAAATCCACATGGTGTCCAGGGCATCAATCAGCGTGAGGCCCAGCCCGAACCACTCGCTGAACGACCTGGACACAGGCTTCAGCTCATCATGGCCCCAGGCAAACTTGCGGTATCCAGCCCATGCGTGGCGGAAGGCGTCTACCACAGCCTTCTGACGCTCGTTTGGGGTGGCTAGGAGGAGGAAAGCAGGTCATGGGGACCTGGTCCTGGGCAGGGCTCAGACAGAGACCCTCCAACCTCCGGGACCAGAACGCAGGGACGCCACCAGCCCCCAGGTGGATTCGCCAAGGGACAGCTGCGACTCTCTGATCCCAGGGCCCGTGGTGACCCAAGCCCAGTGAGGAAAGGGGGCTCCAAACACGCGTCTCTCCCGTGGCTGCGATGCAGGACGTGGGCCGCCTCGCATCATCCCCAAAGCCCTGAAGAGAGCTGGGGCCCCCTGGCTTTGAAGGAGGGCAGCCGGCGGCCCCCACACACCCTGCCTGCTCCTCTGAGTGTCCCCAAGCCCTCTCCCCCATGTGCCCAAGGGAAGCCCGAGAAAGTGAGGGTGGGGCCTCACCGGGTCGGGTCTGAGTCCTGCTGGCCTGCAAGGAAGGCCTAGTGGGCGCCTCTCCTTTTCTCCAAGGGTGCTGGGTGCCCCGCCACGGCCCTATCACTGGTCCCATCCAGCTTCAAGGACAGAAGGAAGAGCAATCAGCTGGCACTGGGCAGCCGCACACCCACCCCCCCTGGCCCTCCAGGCACAACCCCAGGCCCCCAAGACTCCACGCTCGGGCTGTGGGGCATCCCCTCCTGCTGGGGAAGGAGGGTGGACGTGAAGATCAGGCTGCTTTGCCGCTGAAGCAGTGGATGGCCGCCGGGTGCCCCGCACGCTCAGGACACTACGCGGCACCTACCCGACCCCTGCTCTCTGCGTGCGCTCCCCCTGGCCTGCGCCGCCTGCCACCTCGGCCCTCCTCCTGGATTCCTCGAGCCTCCTGTCCGTCTCGCCTTCAGTGGGTGCCTGGATCGGCAGGCGGGGCGGTCCCCGTCGGAAATGCCTCTGAGGCCTCTAGAGCGAAGCGAGAGCCCCTCGTGAGGACGACCCCACAGCCTGAGCCTCTGCCTTTCCTCCCAGGACAGCTCCCACCCAGCCGGCTGC